GGATGGCCTCTTCCTTCTTCCTAGTCTGTCTCAGTCTGCAAGCCAGGCTGATACCTGTGCACCATGTGCACCCAACTGGCTTTGAAACACCAGTGGCACAACCTCAAGAATCACAGCAACACGTCACAACAGTGGGACAAACCGACAGAGAAGTTTTATCCCTTAGCTGTTGGAAACCTTTCCAACCAACCTTACCTGGATCCCTGTGTCTGACTCCTTGCTCTGTCCTGGTCCCCTTGGCCTTTTCTGTCCTTTCCCCACTTTCCCAACTTGCCATTATGGGGCATGGCCTGGGTTCCCTCTCCTCACCTGGATCTCTGCGGCTGACTCCTCAATCTGTTCCAGTCCCCTTTCCTTTTTCTGTCCTTTCCCTGCATTCCCACCTTGCCGCTTGTGGAACGTGACCTGGGTTCCCTCTCTTAATCTGGATCCCTGCATCTGACTCCCTGCTCTGTCCTGGTCCCCTTGGCCTTTTCTGTACTTTCCCCGCTGTGGGGCATGGCCTGGGGTCCCTCTCCTCACCTGGATCCCTGTGGCTAACCCCTCAATATGTTCTAGTCCCTTTTCCCTTTTCTGTCCTTTCCCTGCTTCCCTGCCTTGCCGCTTTGGGGTGTGGTCTGGGTTCCCACTCCTCACCTGGATCCCTGCGGCTGACTCCTCAATTTGTTTCAGTGCCCTTTGCCTTTTCTGTCCTTTCCCTGCTTCCTCACCTTGCCACTTGTGGAGCATGGCCTGGGTTCCCTCTCCTCACCTGGATCCCTGTGGCTGACTCCTCCACTGGCTTTGATGATAGCAAGATCTAAAAAACAGCTTTTGCCCAGGGATAAAGCTCACAATATAGGAAGGGATAAGAAAGAGCAGCAAACAAAAACAAGAAACACAGTGAGGAAGTGGGAAGAGTGATAATACATTGTGGGGATTGCAGTGAGTATCACAAAACAAAATGTGTGTGAATTGTTGAATGGAAAATGATTGATCTGTAAACTTTCACTCAAATCACAATAAAAGTTTTAAAAAATAACTACTCAATAGATTCTGAGTAGATGGTTGATGTCACGAGGATTGATGTATATGATGAAACCATTTAGGAAACTAATGAAATTGTTCAGGAAAAAAAGATGTGGAGACCTTAAAATGGGGTAGAGGACATGGGAAGAGAATTAGCTTAAAAAGAGAGTTGAATACACAAGAGCTGGTGATCTTAGTGACTATTTGACTATGAAGGGAAGGAGATGGAGAATTCAAAGATAATGCCTTGTCTTCTAACCAGAGTTACTAGTAAAATAAAACAGATTTGTGGAAGAAAAGATAATTTCAGTTTGGCTAAACTGAGATTAGAAGTGGTGCCCATATGGTAACTAGATATTAGAAGCTATGTTTGGAAAGAAACAAGGGTTAACTGATCTATTTGAGAGTCATCAGCTTAGAAGTGATATTAGAAGCCTCTACAGTGACTAAACCTTGAGAAAAGATTATAGAGATAGATACAAGAAGAGAGGAATAAGAACAAAATCTTTGAGAACATCCACAACTAAGGGATAAATGAAAGAAGAGGCAGTAAATGTTCTGAGAAGGATCAGTCAAAGAGGCTTTAGCATCATCAGAAGAGAGAGGTATTATTGGTACTAGTAGTGAAATAATTTTTAGGGGAAAGAATAGCCAAGAGGTTCAACTTCTGCAGAGATGTTGACAAGAATGGGTGTAGACTGAGTGGCTTCAGGCTTTGCTGATTCAGAAGTGAATGGTGACCCCAGTTTATAAGGTTATGTTATGGTAGAATTTGGAAAAGAAGCCAGTGGAAGTTGCTTCAGAAGTTTGGTGGCGGGCATAAGAGAGAGATGCAGTAGTATATAGAAAGAAAATTTAACACACACACACACACACACACATTGGTTCAAATAAGGGATAATTGGTGGAACAGGGCATGGGTGTAGCTGAAGTGGAGTGCTGTGCTGTGAAATGGACTAGGGCATAGGCAGAGAAATGTTAAGGCAAAGAGAAAGGGACATGATGGATTTCACATCTGGGGAGGTTCTATATTCTTCTCAGATAAGGAGGATGTTACCTCATGTTCTGGGAGCAGGGCAGGGGCCTGAAAGGGGATGCAACATGTTTGGAACACCTATTATAAGTAGTGAAACAGGAAAGAGCAAGTGTGTTGACATACAGCATAGGGGCAGGCCTTGGAGGTTGCAAAGCATAAAGCAAAAGTGGAGTCAATGCAACTTTTTGCTATTTTTGGAAGTAGAGCTGAGCAGTACAAGGACATGAGCAAAAACGTGGCATGTGGTATCATAAAACTTAGAAACAGCACAGAGAGTGAGGGGGAGAGGTGAGAGACTGTGAGAATATGTAGGGAAGAGGTGAAAGAGGAGACCACACTCATGGGGCTATGTTAGGGGTAGAAAAGGTTGCAAAAAGGGAGAGTCAGGTGATTCTGGCTCAGAGAGCAGGGAAGAGTGGAAGGCTGAGAGTCAGGCAGTATATGAAATGAGAATTAGTGTAAGTGAGGGAGGAGCCTATTTTCATACAGGCATTAACTAGAATTTGCATTTGGTTTAGGAAGGGGGTGATGAAGATCAAAACTATATAGGCTTCAGGGCTTTTTTTCACAAAATAAAATCAAACTTAATCAAATATAACAGCAACAAAAAATCCACCAGACAAAATAAAACAAACAAAAATAACAAGCAAAGAGTAGCTTTCAAACAGTGCCCAGATCTGGTATAGATTGAATCATAAATGATAATCACACATAATAGAAAAAGCATAAGACCTGAGTGCAAATATCAGTTTGTACTTTCTTGCCATGAGCTCCAGGACAAGTAGATTCCCCTCTCTTGTCTGTCTTTGCTTCTTTAAAATAGGGTAAGGAAAATGGTGTATTAAAAAGACATGAATAGACACTTCACCAAGGAGGATATTCAAGCAGCCACAAACATATGAAGAAATGCTTACCATCATTAGCTATTAGAGAGATGCAAATCAAAACAACAATGAAATACCATCTTGCTCCAGCACTAGTAGCAAAGTTCAACAAGACAGAAAATAAC